CACTGGCATTCCCGGGAGAGTTTAGATAAGTTATGTACAAAATACCTCTCAGTTGCCATTAGATCTGGGTCCCTGATTTCCACAGAGCCTTTAGCAGCACAGCACCTTAGTCTAACGATAGCAAGATTAACAGCAGGATCCTTACGATAGTATCAGCCTGGAACAACTGAGACAGGGCGCTCACGGCTAAAGCATTCAGGTCAGTGTGCAAGCGTCAGTGGTACCTCGTGCTATCCCTTGCTAAACTACACACCGATACAAACTGTGTGCTGTTGTCTCGGAAAAACATCGCAGAGGAATCCCCAGCGCTTCGCGTCACTTACTGCATCATGGTTCCTGCGGAATCGGATGACTTCTCGGTCATCTTCGAAGCTGCTGCCCATAGCCGTCTGCGTGACAGACTTCATGGCAAAGCCCAGCATGTGCTGGCAGAGTGGCACGTGTTGTGCCTCAGGAAGAGAGAGCCATTTGGCTAGCAGCTCTTCTGACAGCTTAAGAGGGAAGAAATCATTAGTTAGCGCTGAACTTGGCAAGCTACTTACAAAACATACCCCAAACTGGAGGCATTCCCATCCTAACAGTGTTTAGTTTCTATTAGTTCCTCTGGGTTAAGGGTGATGGGCTCTAGTGCTCGGCATAAAATGCCACCAAGCAGAGCCCGTCAACCCTTAATCCACTGGAGCTAATGGAAACCAAACACTAGCACTGTGTTTGCACAGACAGACAGACACCAACGCAGCTATCTCTCTCAGATGCTTACTATTCCAAGGTGAACTTGAACACAGCCCTGCATTTACTCCCACCAAGCTCCCCCCCTCTGTGAGCCACAGAGGGCTCCTACGATGTAAAAAGGAAAAGTTATTCACCTTCTGGATGAGAGCTAAGTTGCTCTGTAAAGACTTAGTGACACCATTTTCATACAGCTTTCTCCTCAGGTGGCTCTCCCTTGTATCCGCATTCAGGCTGGACTGGTACCTCAAAAAGGACTTCAGCATTGTCTCAAATGGATCAACTGAAATCAAATAAAAGAAAAAAAAATTCCAAAGTCAGGCAGTCCTGCTGCACAGGGATGATGGAAACATCAACCTCATTACTTGGGCACTGCTATTTCTGGGCCATGAGCAAGGCATGGCCCTTTCCCCCAGGAACGGTCTCTTTGGGGCGTCAAACTTCTCTTGCTCTATGTGGGCCGGGAGCTTGTACAGACTCCTCTCTAAGCCAGGATAGCATCAATGCCCTCTGCAACATTTGCCTCCTGAATGCACAACAGAGCTCCAGCAAGCGGCTCGTCTCAATGCTTTTAGTAGCAGCCCCTTGGAAGCTTGGCACTAGGCTGGCTGGGCCAGTGTGGTCACAGCAGTGACAGTGGCTGCATGTGTGCTACAGAAAGCAGTGTCCTATCAGACTACAGAAGGTTTTTTATTTCTCAGCATGTAACTTTCTGTTTTTCTTGCACCCAGATGATTACAGCAGCTTACAAATAAGGTAGAAACACATTACCTCCATCTTCATATCCACAGCTTCAGTTAGATCTTTAACTCTGAAATCCCCCAGAGCACACTACAATAATATGCAAATGCAAACCTATGCAATAAAGCATGAGCTATCATACGTTTTTCCCTTCCCGCAAATATTTCTGTGAGTCTGTCAAATCTGGCAGAATTATTAAGAAACTATACTGAAGCAATAATCAGGGAGTCTCCACGAGGGATATTTTCCCTAGCTGTTACTTCCCCCAGTTGAAGCACAAATAATCTCTGATGCATCAGAAGACATCAAGCCTGGGCCGGGTACACAACTCTGCTCATCAGGGATGTGTCCAGCACTCCCAGCAGAGATCAAGGTCTCATTATGTGACTGGACAAGCGTTCAATAAGAGATGGTTCCTGCCTGCAGGAGACTTACCAGCTAATGAAACAAAGGTAGCTAACGAGGGCAGAAGCAGGAATACAGTCAACCCTCCTGAAATCTTTTCTCCCACATTAT